GGTTCATATCAGCAAGTCTTGCACCATTCAGCCAGAAGCTGAGAGGAGGAGAAGGTTCTAGGTCAACCAGCTGACGACTGCCCTTGTGGACCTCAGGCAGAGAACAGGCAGCAGCAGGATAATTGAAATCAGCTCTTATGTAGAAAGGGTGAAATGTTTTATGTAAAAACACAAGTTAGATTCCTATGACTGAAAAAAGGGGGGGGACGGCGGGTGTGATTCAAAAGCTGCTAACGCTCAGCTGTAGCCGTAGGAAGCCTTGCAAACTGGGCCGAAGCTTTGCCTGACACACACCAGGGAGGCCCCGAGGGCACAAAAGAAGGCTGGTCAGTGGTCTCAATTCAGCACTATGCTGCCTGTCCCCGGCAATGTCTGCACCATTCAGAGAAGTGCTAACATCAACAGAAGGGCTGAGCTGAGAAAAGAGTGAGCCTGCACCTCCCAGCTTAGTCACTTGATCTAAATGGCACAAAGAATGGGTTCACTGCAATAGCTCGCTGCACATAAGGCCAGAAGCTCTAGAAATACCTCCTACACCAGTCTCATACCAATCATTACCAGTGAGGGGTTTGCAAAGGATGGACCCGTTGTAATATCACTGGCATGTCTGTCCGATACTGTATGTGCCAAATAACTGCAGGGCTAACTACGGTCAATGACGGAGCCACCAGGCTGGCAAAGGGTTGCAGCTGCCAACTCTTGTCAGCTCACTTGCCAAAGCAGTTAACTCCGGCACCCTTTTTTTCTTTTTTTTTTAGAAATTAATTAATGAATTGGTAGTTCTATAATAAGCAGCAACATACACTGAACACTTCTGTCCTCTGCAGAGGCTAAAAGAAGCCCAACATGCATCAAAGTGACACATCTTAAATTACTGTGCATGCACAAGTATGCACTAAGTGAATACAAGAAGGTGATAACTGAAGCCAAAAACTCCATTTGACAATGCTTACGACATATTTTTGTTGTACAAAATCACATGTGCAATCTGAACCTGACCAAAGCAGAGGCAGCGAGTTGAAAGAAAAAGAAAGCAAACACAAAGAAAGTTAAAATAAACGGGAGAACTATTTGGGAATGTTAATTTATTTTCCACATTTCATGTATTTAATCATTTTCTTCAGTATTCTCCGCAGCTGTTCAAGCTCATTTCACTGACAAATTAGATTACATTTTTTAAAAGACATTTTGGAAATTAACAGAGTGAAGGGTCTAATAAATCAGTGTTCTGAAGTAGTCTCTTGAACAAGCCTATCTTATGAGATAATCACACCACAGATCAGTGAGGCCAAGCGGAACAAAAGCCCAAACAAAGCCCTCTTTAGTCGTGTTTGCTTCCTGTGGATCTTAAACACAAGCAACAGGTAGAATAATGCGGGGGGAGCACTGGGTACGATGTCGCTAAAGCTCTTTCAAAGACCGGCCAAAATACCCTTATCTCATAATACATCACGCAGAACAGATTAGGGTGAAAAGTCAGAGCTTAGGTTTGGATTTTAATTTGAGTTTGAGACAAATGCGAATGTGTTCACATTTTGTACAACTATATGAATAAATTATACTCTTAGAACTTCAACAATCAACACACAGCAATATAGTGTTTCAGTCTTAAATCCAGAACTTCTAAGTTGTTGCAGGCTATTACTTCACAACTTTTTTTATAAATAATTGTGTTTTCTTCTTAGCTTTTTTAGCATAACCCTGGAAAAAAAAAGCCCATTGGTGATGCTTTGTGCACAAAAAGCAGCTGCAGCGTCCACACAAAGCTACCTCTCTGTATAGTCTACCCTATTCTCATCCATCCAGAGAGATGAAAAAAAAAAAAAAAAAGTATACTACACAAACACTGACACAAAATACAGCTATGTAATGCTTTCAAGGAAAAAAAACAAAAAACCCACTGCTATCCATAACTGCACCACCAGCCTCAAACACTACTTGGTGCATTCCCAGCTCATCCCTCCTACACACAAGCAGAGCACTATGAATAAGCTTCCCACAGTTTGCCAGCTCAGTAGATGCTGTTCTCTCTGCCCTTTCTGCAACAATATTACAGTCCTACCACTCACCAAACAGGGATGCTGCCAATTCATCAATGACTTATACTGTACTGTATATTCCTGCACAGTTTTGTTGATCAACAAAGAAAAGAAGAAAAAAAAAAGTGAATGTTCCACTAGATAGTGCTGTTAATCCTGCTGAGATTTGCTTTTATCTGCATACCGGTGGCGTTGCCGTACTCGCAAGTCAAAACAAAATTAAATATTGGAGTGATTATCATTTGTTATCCATGTCTATAGTACAGTCAGAACGCCGTTGTTCCATTTGGCCTGTGTGTTCAGGAGTTGTTAGAATTAAGACAATAAGTCGACAGAAAATCAATCAGCGACATTTTTTTTTTTTTGAGTCTTCTTTTATTATTATCATCAAAAAAGCTCCTATTTTCTTATTCAAGTTCCTCAAATGTGAATATTTAGCGGCTTTCTGGTTGTCGACAATTGAAAGTGGAATATTTATGGATTTTGTGTCGCTCGTCTAATGAAACAAGACGCGTGAAAACATCACTGTGGGCCTTTTGTTACAACTTTCTGCGAGAGAAAAAAAAAACTTAATCAAGAAAACAATCGTCAGATTCATCTAAAATCTGAAAATTATTATGAGCTGCAGTTTTGATTTGTTATTTAAGACTTTCTTGTGCTTTGATTCTGAGTTTTTGAAAAAGAATTTGTGCAGAATAAATATTAATATTTGGCCTATTTTAGCAATATTTACCTTATGTAAAAGGCTCAAACTCAAATCTCTCCTGTGTTGTAGACCCAATATGAACACCACTATTACAAAAGGTATCAGCCAACTGACAATATAAGAACGGTGCCTCATTGGGAAACACAAAACCACACAATCTAAATGCTGTAAACCTTTTTGAGATGCAGCAATAGTTATTACTTTTAAATAAAATAAAACAAATAGCCTCTTGCTGTTTCTGTCGTCTGTATACTTGATGGATTTTTTGCCTGCTATTTGTAGCATGTCACATAAACAAAATGCTTCCAAGCAGTTAGTCTTACAAATAAAAAAGGAGGTGGACATTAAAGGCTTTTCCTCTTCAAAAGCTGTAATAACTTATTGAAAAAATGTTTATTTGAATTTTTAAATCAATGCTAAACTCTTATTTTCTTCCTTCCCACACATAATATATTTTTTGATCTATATGTTATACACCTGTATGCACTTTCTTTTCAGTTTTGCCTCTACTGGTTTTATGTGATTGCCCCTTTTCGACATCCTACATCACACTTAAGGAAACGGCTCAGCTTGAAATGCTTATTTTACACGTAATATAACAGACAGTTTCTCTTCTGCCATTGCTCCATATGTGCCTTTGTTTGTTGTGGGCAGCAGATGAACTTCCCCCCTGTCCAAAAAGTGCTTTTAAATGTTTTCATTTAATCCGCTGTGGGCCTTTGTGAAGCCTGTATTTCCGACACTTGTCTATAGTACCTATGCACAAGTGAACGGCCGGCATGCTGATTCATAAGCCCACATGATTTATCATAATCCCCTGTAGTCTAAATTACAGTGTTGAACTTTGCTCGATAAGCTCAAGGCAACGCAGCAAAGACATTTAACCTAGTTTTTGTAAAGATAAGACTGCATATTTCTCACTCGCAAATTAAAACAACACATCCTCCGACATCATCTATATTTCAGTTGTAGCTAAGCCATAATTCTGATGCAAACACGCTAATATGAGGAATCTAAACGACGCTGTGCACGGCTAGAACCACAGAATGAATTAGCACAGAGACAAACAACTTCACACTGTGGCATCTTATCTTTAGATTGCATCCACATTATTTTGGTAGTCAACTATAAATATGCAATGAGGACCATCAAATAGGAAAACTGACTTCACAGAATAATTTTTAAGAGTTTTCGATTCACAAAAATGTAATTAAAAAAGTAATAAAAGAAAGTGGTTAAAATAACTATGAAAGAAGGAAAGAAGTTTAAATTTAAGACGTGTTTAAAATAGATTTATGCAAAGGAAGTGCTATTATTTATGACTTGACTTTGATAGACCAAACTGGCCTTAATTAGTTTTTATTCTTATTCTGTATTAATTTTCTTTTCATTTTGATCATTTTTAATTCTACTTTGTGATTGCTCTCAGCTTTTTTTTTTAGTGTTTTTGAAAACGAGCCACTTTGTAAACCTGTTTTTGAAGAGTCACATAAATAAAGGATATTAATAATATTATTTACTTTAATACAGCCAAAAATAAACACTCTAAAAATATTACATTTTAAAGCTGGTCATTAGTCGCCTGAAACCTTAGATGATAACATAAAAGAGTTCTGTTTATACGCCGCGTCTTTGGTTTTTGCCAATATAAAGTTAAAACCGTACAGAAGTTGCTGACAGTGTCCTAACAGGTAGTTAAGTCCATGCAATTAAGATATACTGTACTTTAGAAAACTTTACAAGAGCTCTTAGTTCACCTCATAACAGAACTTGTAGATCGCTGAAGCCGTTTCTGTTCCAGTAGATTATATTACTGAGTTCTTGGGCAGACAATAAACTCTCTTCTCAACAGCTGCAATGTCAAAGTGTCTGCTTTGCTAAATCTCCGTCTATTTTATACAGCTAAGTTTGTCACCATGAAAAATAGTGAACCCTGCAAAATATGGATGTTCTTTTATAAACTATTTACTCAATCTGACAGAAAATCCACTCAAATTAAAACTGACATTCACCGTTTTTTTGTTTTTTGTCATAGAAAAGTATCTGAAGGCCAGCTGTCAAAAGAAATACGCTACTGTCCAAATGCCAACTTTTGTTTAGATAAGGAAGATGAGTTGAGTTGGAGAAGAGGGGAGGCTACACTCAAACTGAGACAGTCAAAGAGGTTAGAGGGGAAAGACAGAAGAGAGAGAGAGACGGCGCAACAGAGGAGCAGGAAACAGGATCAGACAGCAAATGAAAGAATAACTTCTAACCTCATTTTTAAGTTGCCAGGCGATGGCTGTCCATCGTAAACCGATACAATATCAAAGTCTTCCTCCAGCGCCAGTGTGACGAAGGTCAGCTGGATTCGGTTCCTCTCCCCCGTTATTATCAGCCACGTACAGTTGGCATAGTTGGGGTAGCCGTGGGGGAAACCAGGCGACTCTATGGTGCCGTTCAGGCCTTGGACTACGCCACCACAAGACTCAGCTGGAAGAGAAAAAAAAAGCCACATTAGAATGTCACGATCACAAACTCGCATCCTGCCTTGAATCGTATAAGTCAGACAGGAGTTCATGGCTCGCATGGCTCAGATTCAGCCTGTGGCTCTGTAACCTTTGTCCAGTTCTATGCAGGAATCGGAACAAGAAGATAAAGAGTGAATATAAATTCGTACCATGGCGATGAAACATAATCATACATTTTTTAGACTGACTCTGAGTTCCAAAACCTTCAGAAATAATATAATTCACTGCGCATCTGAAGGAAAACACTGAGCGAAGCTATGTGCAAGCCAAATGTTACTCGGGTAACAAGCCCCTGTCCTCACATGCAACTCCAACCTAATGCAGCACATGCCTCACAACCTCCCCTGACACGACGGCATATGCCATGTCAAGCTTCCGTGCAAAGTGCCTCAATACGGGCACATATTTAGATTTCATGGCCTTATCCCTTCAGTTCTGACAGTGTTAGGGCTGTGATCTGCTGATCGTGGACCAGAAGTAACCTCCCATGACACATACACTCACCACATACTGTATGGTGTTGTTTTAACAACATGTTCCGTGTGATCATATTGCTCACTCATTCAAGTCCCACGACATTAAAAACAGTGAACCATACCACCATGAAGCCCTGTACAAGCCCAACACTGCACTCCTGTTACAGCATAGAACATGAGTTACAAATACACACATAGACACGAAACCAAAAACACAAATCTCCAACTAAGTCAGCTTACACACAGATATGTTTATTCATAAATGCATTTTCCAATAATAATGTGTTTATCATATACAAATCTGTCATAAAATGTGTTTCTAACATGTAAGCAAACGCTGTACAAAATGCTTTATGGATTTAATTCTACAGTGCATCACACAGAATGGTAGTTGTACGTATTCCCTCTGAATCTGTTTATGTCCGCTATAGTTTAGTTGCAATACGCAAGTAAAAACATTTATCTAAACTTGTTATAAACTTAGAGACGCCTCATGCACACACAATTAAAAAGCCAGTCTGTGATATAACTCAGTGCTGACGCTAAGTGTTGGTATATACTTTTCCACCTCTTACACTTTGATCTGTCGGGATTGAGCAGTATATTCCAACTAAGCGTCAGACACGACTGCATACTCGCACATACCCATGTGATCGATATAGACAGAGACATAGCTGCGTAGATACACACAAAAGAACTGAATTTATATAGCGGGTTAAGTTTTGAAGAATTCATGAACAGCTTTTAACTGTCAACTTCAGTCGGACAGAAAAAAAAAGGCGGCAATTAATAATAAAGCAGCTCTTAAAGCTGGCAAAGGCTAAGCTGCTGTGCAACAAATCTGGGGAAAGCTATAGATGAGAGCAGGGCTGCACGATTCTGGACGAAATGGTAGTCATGAATATTTCTGATCAGTACGGAAATCAAGATTATGTATCACAATTACT